TTTTATATCGCAAGTTATTCAACAAAAATATAAAAGTTTATTGATTATCTCTTCATCTGATGACCTTTTATCACAACTTAGATTAGTGAATAAATTTCGTTATCGTGAGAAAATATTGTATTTAACTTTGCTAAATACTTAGAACAAGTTGCTATTAATCTGGATAAAAAAAACCCAGTCACGATCACAGGAGATAGCCTTTGTTTTTAGCACGATTATCCCCTTTATTTCTTTCAGGGTGGTTTTATTTTTTATCTACCGCCCTGAATTTGTTTTTTATTTTTATTTTTTTCTTTACTTTTCATTTTGCAAGTTTACAGGATTACAGTACTACAAAACTACAATGCTACAATACAACAGTACTACGAACTTATATTATTACAATGCAATATAATAACGATGCAATGTTACTAAATTATAATACTGGCCCATAGAACACACACACTCAAGAAAAAAAATTGCGGTTTTAATTCCCGAAACGTGTTAAAATAAACGATTGATTGATTGATAGCTAAATGATTTTTGAAATTACCAGAATATCAAAACGTAAGTTTTACCAGCAGCGTGCAGTTCAAACTTGATTGGCAAAGTCATTTCCTTAGAATTTTTTTTTAAGTTTTCATCGCTTAGTTAATGTCTTATTTATCAATTACTCTTTGATTATTCAGGCCAAACAAAGAGAAAATTTTGAAGCAAAGCGAAGGTTTGGATCATAGAGTCTGAGCTTTGCCTTTTACTGGAAACAAACATTAAGCTGGATTTCCCCACGCCGTGAACATCTTTTGAAAAATTACGTATGTTGAAATGGACGTTTACATGCGTAAATGCACCCGTTGATTAAACTTTTTCATATTTCCACCTCCACGTTTTACGCACTTTATAATCGCGAGAGGGAAGGATAAGGTTGAATAGTGGGCCTGTGTTTTTCGAAAGTAAAAACAAAACGCGTGGTAGTGATTTTTAGGTAGTTGTGGAAATTGGTTACGCACGGTTTCTCAATAAGCACGTTTTACGTACGATCATCGTATTTTTGTATAAATAGTTCTAAAGAGCTCTTAGAAAAGATAAATGAGTCAGGGGGGAAGAGAAGCTTGGCGTTCGTACAAATTAATAAATTTGCGTTCTCGATTCAGTTCTACTTATAGGCTATTCTATTAATGAAATCAAAGAGCTCGAGTAACAAGCTGTTTCGGAACATTTATAGATATGGTAGAACAAAAAGGCACTGGAAGTGTAATTTATTTCCTTGATAGCATAGTTGATACTTCAGTTGAACTAAAGATGATATCTTCTTTATTTGAAGTAAAAATAAGAAACACCGTTTGAATTCAACCAGTTTTAAACCTTTTTTTTTAATAAAAGAAATCGTAAAATAGCACTCTATGAATGAATGGTCGAACTGAATTTACAATTAGAGAATTTAAGCACGTAGCTCGATAATGTATCGAAAATGTCGGTACCATAGGCACTTCCTTTCTTCTCTAACTTTTCTGTTTATCCTGTTTTATATTACAACCTTTATGCGATTATTTCGCTATTCTTTGTTCAAGTCTCGATAAGTTCCTTATAATTTTTTTTTATACATCGCGTATTTCATTTTTATTAGTAGTCTAAATCTTGATTTGAAATATACGAGAAACGAGGAGGAAACTAGAAAAGAGCAAATAACTAGAAGGACAGTATTTTAAGAATAATATTTAGTACCCGAAGTTAATCTACCTCGTTAGCTACTCTGAAAAATAAAAAGTGTTTATTGCGGACTCAAACACAACGTCGTGGAAATGAAAACTCTGGGACTTTTTGCGTTTTTCTTTATATTGCGTTTGCGTGGCCTTTTGGTCTTTATATAGGATGTGTCCAAAAAAATGCAATTCTTGTTCGGAAAAAGTCTTCAAGTAGTTTAGGTGGATAAAGTTGATGCATAGACCTAAAACGAAAAACGAGTTAACAGGTGTGCATTGCAGAGTCTCAAAATCCATTTCTTCTTTACCGACCCAAACTTTGGTTAGTGTTGAAAACAACTTCCTCATCTCTCCACCGAGGTGCACGGACTTTATTAACCATTCGAGTTGTTTTCGATGATTTTAAATCTCTCGCTGGGATATTCGGCTCAGAGTCGAGCTGATTTACCTATATTCATACGACACGAAAACCAAATGACCCATCGCAAAATAGCGTGAGGCAATTAAAAGCAATCATGGGAACTCAGTGTTTGACCCCTTTCAGGCCCAAGATTTTTTATATCAGCTTTCTCTGCCCCCTGCAATCTTTCTTACATTCCTATCTACCTGAAAATATACTGAACTAGTGAAAGTATAATTATTTATAATAACGAGAAAAAGGGTTAAAGAACGGTAACGATATATTGCAAGTCATAGTGGCTCAAATATTCGAGAGCTTTTTACAGGCGTCACCCCTCCAACAAGTGCCTAAGAACTCAAGAACACGCATGCCGTAATTCAGTCGAATCATCTAGGAGCCAAATTTCAAATATAGCTAGATAAAGCAAAACTAACTTTGAAAATAGCTGACAGCAAAACAGAAAGAAATACGGAACTTGTAGTCAACTCCTGCCGAGAAGCAGGAGACGAACACTCGGCTTGTATCCTCAGACCAATGGACCGCAACAGCCATTCACTCTGACGAGGGGCTAAAGCTCATAAAAGATCAGCTTTAGAAAATCTTTACGGAGGCCAATTTACTTTATAAACTCAGTTGATAAATTTAAATTATCTCGAAAGAGCCGTAACGAAGACCAGTTGCAAAATGCTTTGTGTGTCCTTAGGATGTTCCTCGCCTAACGCGATTAAAATTCTCCGACAAGCACGGGAACAACAATACCTTTAACAAGACAAAGTGCATTGTACATCGTGCTGGCTAATTCATAAAGTCCACAGGTTTGTGCTTAAAAAATGAAATGATTAAAAAATTATTATTGATAATGAGAAAAAAGAAAAATACTTTATGTTAAGCTTCAGGATGTGAATAGTTGAGAGGATTTAGTGGAAAGAGAGGTGTAGAGTTTTGGAGAAATCAGAGGGTACTGATCTTCAATTTAACGATAAGATAATTACTCTATTTCTTTTAAGCTACTTTCCTCCCCAATTCAGTACCTCGCCTCCAAAGAAAAATTATTAAAAAAATTCCTAAAGAACCTCCATACTACTCAGTCTTAAACAAAGCAGTGAACTCGAAGGCAATCTATTGTGCATAATGAAGCATGTGGCTATACAGAAATCATGGCTTAGTTTTCTCTGCACAGCGGTCTTACCTGATTCACCTTTGTACCCGTTCGCAGCCGTTTATTAGTATGTTACCTAACATAAACATGCGTAGCATGCAAGAGTTATTTTTTTCGGCTGGGCGGGTTGAGGTGGGACACTTTGTGTACCTAATGTTTTCATTTTTGTAACAGGAAAGAGCATAACTTTCAAACGGACGAAAATATCGCATTAATTCACCTTAAGAAAAAGAAAAAAGACCTAATTTATCTGAACTCACACAGGTATTTTTCGGTTAGTCGTCTCTATTGTCTCGGTACTTCTAAGCAAAAATAAAATGCATCGGTGCCACACTTGCTGTTGTCTCCTTCGCAGCCGTTGTTTGGCCTCGCCACACAGTGCCATCTATTCCCCGTTGGAGAGAGAACCCGTTGCGCGACGACACCAAATAACGGTTGCGAAAGAGACTACCCTTATTACCGTTCTTCGTCTATAGTTAGTTGCCTCAAAAATATAATTCTACGTAATTTAATACGAAAAGCTAACTGAAACTCTGTTGTATCTCCAATAGATCCTAACAAAAGATATATTGCGATCTCGAACAAGTGAAGATACATTGAAAAAGAAAAAAGGATAATATTTAGAAGAGGGCTCCTTGATTGGTTGTTGCCTATTTGGACTTTACCCTCTGCGTGAAACATGTGACGAAATACAGATTGTTTACGCGATTGAATTAAGTCCAAGGTAGCGAAAAACCAATTTTATTCGCAGAAAAAGTCAAAACGCTGGAGAATCGCGTGGATAATTAAATATCAGTAGCATCTCATTCCATGTGAATTTTTTTAGTGGGGTTGGGCAATGCGGTTAGAATTCGTGATTAAATGCAGGTTGTTTACCAGGAAATGACACGTGGTGGAGCAAAGTCTTCTTAGAGAAAATAGAATTCAGGATCGGTGGAACACAACTCAAGCACATGAAAAATTGCCTAATGTTCATGTAGCGCAATGATTGGGTATGTTCTAATTGGACTTTGGACGTTGTTTTCATGGTACGTGGTAGAATGTAAGTTGTTTGGCGGGTGAGTTTTGAGTAAATGAGCGGAAAAATACATTTTAACTTAAAATGAACAAAAAGGTTAAATGCGAACTTTTCATATCCCGATAAATTTCGATCTCAATCGAAGAGGCTCCGCGAAGGCCACAAACTATTACACTCATCAAATGAACCCAATTTATGGTTTATGTCACTCTTTGTGTACAGCCTCCTAATTCCATGACATCATTTGCAAGAAAACAATTTCCAAACATTGTGATTTGTGCAAGATATCCAAATGCTGTGATATGATTGGTGCAAGCTCAAGATAGGGAAATCTGATTTTTTTTTTCAATTAAAACAAAAAAAAAAAAACTATTCCTCTTGACCCGAACCATTCTCCATCCTCGATTCCCTGTGGCAGTGGTAAGCTGGAAACCTATTTTGGTAGCGCGGTAGCGCGGTAGCGCGGTAAGCAGAAATTTTTTTTGGGATCACTTTCTGAAGGAGCTTAGAAACCAGGCTCA